TTTTAGATGAAAATGCATTTTCAACATCATATCGCGGGTCCCCCATTAGAGTGTAGAAGTCAAAAATTGTGTGCTGATGTGACAGAAAAAATGCATTTTTGGCTCCAAAAATGAGTACCAAACAGGGGCATACACTGAGTCCATGTTTGGTTAAGCTTAACTGCAAATAATTTATGCTCAAGTATAAAATATGATATGGGTAGGGACCTTGGTCTCATAAATGAGAGCTTAGAAAAGTGGATGTTACACACTTGCCCCATTTGTTTTTTGGTCCACCCCACTAAACTATAGAAGAAATAAAAAGCAAAGAGACATTGACAACTTAGAAACACGCGAAATGGGAAACCATGTGTGCAGGGGACACGTACATCCTAGCTCACATGTTTCTTTAGACCCTGTTTGGGGGATTGAAATAAATTTTTTAGTATATTTTGATAAAAATTGATGAGATGCGTGGTTAAAAAGTTGTGGATCCTATAAAATGTCGTGTGTTAAAAATTGGATCACCCCGTTGGTTCAACCGGGGATTAGGAACAAAATTGATCGGATTAGGTTTTTAAAACTTCTAATTGAAAACCCAACCCAAAACCCATTAAACCGGCCAATTTTTAGAAAATTTGTGACTCGTTAACCGACTCAAACCTGTGTAAATTCATATTTTTTCAAAATTTTTTAAATGTATATTTTTTTAGGTTTTATAAATTTATATTTTTTAATTTTTTAAAAATCGTCGGTTTGGCCTGAGTTAAACTTTTGACCCTTTCCCTTTTTCGAATCGATGATTTGGTCAATTTTAAAACAATGATAAAATGTGTAGTTAAAATTAGTAGTTGATTTTAATTTAGATTAAAATCTGAATTTTAATTTGTATCAAATATGTGGTCAATCTTGTTTTGTAAATATTTTTTGAAAAAATATATTTTGTAAACAGTAAAGAAAAATTATGAGTTACAACAAAATTATCTTATTGTTAAAACGTGTGATTAAAAATGAGTTCGGAGAAAAATAAATTTTGAAAAATGGCGAGGCGGCTTAATCAAACAAACTTGGTTCTATCAGTTCTCTCTTACCATATCTCTCTTCTTATCTCTTCATTGTCATGCTTATTTTTGTTTGCTCAATAGACCCAACACAAGACAATAATATTTGTCGGATGGACCACTGAGGCCTACATTTAGAGCAATCCACTATGGACCATTCTGAGCCGAGTCCGGACATATACTCGCGTCTCTCATTATTGGAATATGCGTACACCATGCTAGTTGGAAAACGAATATTCACACAAGTCTATTAGATACTACACAACAAAAATATATATATTTTAAAAGAACGAGGAACTTTAGACTCAAACTCAGGTCATTACCCTAGTAACACTTCGCCCTTTGATGTAATGACACGACACGCTCTTTGATGCAATGACACGACACATACATTTGAACATATAAAACTAGCACCATTATAGTTGGATACAAATCTGTGCACAAATTGAATAAAGGCATTCGAATTAATGATAGTGCACGATAAACATTTGTATACACATCGAAGAGAGATTTTGATACAGATCCTTTTAACGCATATTTGTAACCCCTGTTTTGGTTTAGATAAAAATCAATTATTTATTTATTTTTGTAAATTTTTATAAAAGTTGATAGAATGTGTGATTGAAAACTGTGATGTATGATTAAAATTGATTGTTGATTTAGATTTTAATAAATTTTTTTTAGCTAAATCAAATAAGGACAACACTATAATATGAAACATGCACTCTAGTTGGCTAAACGTTTGAGCAGGGTTTGCCTTCGATACAAGTGAGGCAAATATAGCAAGCAAAAAACAAACTTATAACTGAGAAACCTTCATTCCATTTCTAAAACTTCACAAAGATGCTAAGAAATCCAGCTACATTACTAAAAATAGTGAAGACAAAAAACCAAGAAAAAATGGAGAAAGTTGAAACATCAAGAATTAAATTACAGTAAGGAAGAACCACATCGAATGAACAAGTAAAATAAGTTATATAATTGACATGGTCATGCCACCATCTTTTTTCACCTGCCATCCGCTGATGTGAATGAGTCAGCAAATCCATACGGCCTCGTAGGTATGCTAGTCTGTGTATTGTCCAAGCTCGGTAAGTAGGATGAAGATGATGAGTCTGCATGGCTGCCTTCAAATTGCTGCCACTTCTTGAGTGCTTGAGGCAAAGACATTTCGAGATCAATTCCAAATATGTCCTCGGAACATTGATCGGATGGTTTCCAGAGCTCTACCAGAGACGAAAGAACATTGACAGCATGACCCATATCGGGCCTTTGATATGGTTCCCTTGCGCAGCAATGGCCTGCCAGTTCAGCAACAGTGCTGATGCTGGCTAAAGTTTCCTCATTTCGGTCAATTGTAGGGTCGATGGCTTTACCAAATGAATCCTTGTTCAGGTGCATTCGCCGGAACCATGTCAAAAGGTGCATGCTTTCCTCAGGTAGGTTCTCATCGAGTGCCTTTCTACCAGTGATCAGTTCCATCAAGATCACTCCAAAACTGAAAACATCCACTTTCGTAGTCACTCTTCCAGTCACTGTTGAAAAAGTAGAAACAGAAAAGGCAATAAGAAATTTGTTGGTTAAAATCTCACTCATTTAAGCAGTCTTTATCCTAGGCTTGCATTCCTGTTGTTTTTTATTTTGTCAAAAAATATAAAAGAATAAAGGCTAGGAAATTGAACATGCAGAAAGTAAACCAGATCACCCAGGCTCGATATGTTGTTTCAAGTTAAGCCAAAATAACTGTTACGGGAGATTAATACTCTTCCTACCAATAGAACATGGCTGTGTGCCATCACAGGTAATGATCATCATTTTACCTGGTTTCCTTGGATTATTTGTCAAATTTAATGAAAAAATTTACATGTCCAAAAGTGATCCTGAAGTCCAGAAAATTTCAATGATATAAATACCTTGTATACTAATAGTATAATAGTAAAAGGCCAATTTCACTAATTTATTTTCAATCAGAACAGAGCGATTGCAATACTGAAGATATTAGTTAGGTCCAAGATTCAAACTTTCGCATAAGAAAGAAAACTAGAACAAGCAAAGATCATAATTGGTTTCAGGATATTTTACCAGCATATTCGGGTGCCAGGTATCCAAATGTTCCAGCAATTCTTGTCTCAATGGAGCCTTTCCCTTCTGGAGCAAGGCGTACAAGGCCAAAATCTGCAACCTTGGCCCTCATATCGTCCCCAAGAAGAATGTTGGATGGCTTTAGGTCCCTGTGTATGAAGCTTTGATGGGCCAAACCATGGAGGTATTCTACTCCCCTAGCGACATCTAAAGCAATGGTCAATCTTTTTGTCCACTCCAATGGCTGCAACCCTTCATCCGCCCAGTTGAAAAGATGTCTACTTAGCGTCCCTTGAGGCATGTATTCGTAAACAAGAAGCTTCTCGTTTCCATCAAGACAGTATCCCAGAAGTGCGACAAGATGCCGATGTCTGACCTTGGTCAAAACAGCAATCTCAGATTTAAACTCGGCTAGCCCCTTCCCGGTTATCACTCCACCTTCCATTCTTTTTACAGCAATCTTTGTTCCATCATGCAATTCTCCTTTGTAAACTGTCCCGAAGCCCCCTTGACCTAGTATATTCTCTTCACTGAAATTGTTGGTAACGTTTTTCAGTACTTGAATGGAGATCACCATGTTCGATGCTTCAACCATTTGAATGTTGCTGTTTTCACTGGTTGATACAGTAGGAGTTTCACTAACAGCACCAACACTGATGCTCGATCCTGCAACTGTTATCTTCACACAATCGTTGTCTGATCCAGAATGACGAGGGTGAACTACCATAGCATTTGGACTCTGAACTCTGCTAAAACGCTTCTGTTTGCTCTTGTACAGACAGAATGCTGCCACTCCAATCAAACAAAGCACAAAGATACCCCCAATTACAGAAAATACAACCACTCCAATCCAATTTCGAGATTTCTTCTGATCCTTTTGTGAACCACCCTCACTTTCAGAACCAGAATTGGGTGTATTGGGTGAGGTCATACCAGGAGAACTTGAATCACTCTTATCCTTCCCGATGTCAGGATTCCCATTTGTCTTTACATTGATGTTACTTCTAAAAGCCGGCAATTTCCCATGAAGCTGGTTGTTTGATACATCTAGTTCGGTAAGTCCAGGCAGAGTGGCAAGCTCCTTCGGGATGGTTCCAGTAAGATTATTATCAGCAAGAATCAATCTCTGCACCGACTTGAGCAAAGCAAAATCAGGAGAAATTGTACCTGTAAGCCCCATATTCTGAAAGTTAACAATGGTTATGTTCCTACTGTTGCAAGTAATCCCAAACCAATCGGTACACGGATCATTTCCTTTCCAATTCTCAGAAAATTTTCTAGGATAATCCATTGATCTTGCTATCGATAGTAAAGTATTCACTCTAAACTCACAATTCCCAGGTTGTGGCAAGCAAAAACGATTGGTATCCTTTACCATATCCACAGAAACTGAGTGTTTAAACTTTGGCATTGGCCCTTGCAACAAATTATTAGTCAAATTAACGACCTTTAAAGAATCAAGATTTACCAAAGACAGGGGAACAGGCCCTGTAAGTGAATTGTCCCTCAAACTCAAGCTCTTCAAATTCTTCAAGCCCGAAAAATCAGGCAATGGACCAGAAAATCCATTTCCATGAAGCCAAACCTCCTTCAAATAAGTCATATTTTGTATAACACCAATCTCTCCACCAAGTTTCTGCCCATTTAACCACAGAGACTCAATCTGGGACCCTGAAAAACTTGATGGCAGCTCCCCTTCCAAGTTATTGAGAGCCAAATGCAAGTTTGTTAAACTAGGAAACTCATCACCTCCTAAAAATGCTGGAATTTTTCCAGTAATATTTGCAGAATTAGCAGAAAAATTCTGAAGTGCTGAAGCATTTTTAAGGCTTTCCGGGATTTCCCAGGCAGAAAATGGATTATTATCAATCTCAACAGATATCAAAGAAGACATGCCAGTAAAAAAATCAGCAGGAATGGAACTAAACTGGTTGTTACTGAGCATCAACACTTGCAGTGAATTAAACCCCTTCAAGCTTGGTAAAGGTCCAGAAATATTGTTCCATTGAAGTTCTAATCGCTCAAGCTGAGTGAGAGATGAGAGTTCTTGAGGGAGTGTACCTTCAACATTCTGGTGCCCGATTTGGATCCGGGTAACACGTTTCTCCCCGCAAACCACATGTTTCCACTTGCACGGATCCGGGTCCGACCACCCGAGATTTTCCGGTAAAATGAGGCTCTTCTTGAGAGCCAGCATGGATGAAGCGTCATCTGGGCTTGTTTGAGACTCAACAAACAGAATTGCTGAACACATAAACCCAAGAAATAGTGAAAAAGCTTGAAGCTTTATACCAAAAATGGGATGCTTCATCGTCCAAACAAGCTTTATATATCAAGAAAAAGCACAATAGAAAGGAGTTTTTAGTTTCTTGTTTTTACAGAATTTGCAGAGTCTTTTGAGTGAAACAAATTAGCATTGGATTCTGAAGAGAGAGAGAGAGAGAGAGAGATTTGGGCGTTGGAGAAGAGAGTGGGAGGTGGGGCGGATCGATGCAATTGCAACTGCTAGAGAGAGAGAGCGCGCGCACATGGGATGAGGGACCCACAAAAACTGAAAAGTTTCTGAAAAAGAGAGTATCAAAATGACAGTGTTGAAAAGCTGGATCATAAGTGGATGAATCTTTGGAACATGGGTCTATAGCCAGTTTTGGGCATTTGTGTTTCTGTAGTTTCAGTTTCAACCGTATAAAAGGGCAAATGGCATGTTTGGTGACCAAAAGTTGGGTGGAAATGGATAAATTCATGTGTACATAATTTTTTGTACATAAATCATCATAATAAAATATTCGAGTGGACCTCATTCCATATGAGTGGAGGACACCTCGATATACAAAAAATTATGTACATCAAGCAAGGCCCAATAAAAATAGGATAAATCTAAAAATATTATGGGAAAGGAGAATCTCTAGAAAAATTAATTTTATCTCCGGCTATATACATTTTTTTTTTGTTAAGTTACTTTAGATGCAGAACTTTTTTCTTATATTATATTTCAAGTATAAATGCTTAAATTTGTGGATTCAATTCATTTACAACTAAATATAGTAAAAATCACTCAAAATCGTGAATCTGAAATTTTGGAAAAACAGGCCCATGACAGCTTTACAGTTTGTTTTGCAAAACTTGTGTATCGATAAAGGATTGGGTGCTAATTCCAAGATTTTTTTCTCTCTCAAAAGGAAAGGGTTTTACATTTCAAAAGTACTGGGTGTACGGCATTTTATACAGCAAGTTTCACAACCCTCTTACATGGAGACAGCGGGGTCGGGCAAGCAATTATAATCGCAGGGTCGCCCCACGTAAGAAGAATGTACAACTTGCTGTATAAAAGTGCTGTACACCTTGCACTTCTTTGGACTCCAACTTCTGATGACTAAAACCAGTCCCTTTTGCTGGGCATGAGTTGTCATTTGATAGTAATGGTCGATCCTTCATTAAGTTAGATTGACAAGAATGATCGATGAAATTTAGAAATAATCAGATGATTATAGTCCATCTAATTGTGTACAATCAAAAAAGAAATAGCAAAAGAAATGAGTTCATGGGCTACTCTATTTTCCTTACGAAGAATAAAACAACAGACGTCACCCAATTCATTAAAAAGAGTAACAATATATGATAAAACGGAAGCATTTGGTGCAAAATTTAATCAGAATTTAAACTTAGTAACATACAAATAGTCACCTTCTACTATTTCAGTCCAGTATCTATAATGCTTGATGAGAACGAGTCCTTCCTTTATTTCCATAGTTTTTACATTGATAAATGCTTTTTGTGCACTTATTTGAGCCAAATTACTAAGCTTCTATATTGTCAAAGTGTTAAATTTTACTTAACTTGGGTTAATTTTCTCTTGTTTCAGTTTTTGAACTTGTTCATAAGCAATTGAAAAAGAAAGAAGGATGAATTGATGATTAGATGGAAGGTTTAGGGACTAATTTGCACATGAAAAGAAGTTGAAGCATCAAAATAGGCATAACTTGTAGTGGAGGACCAAAATAAAAAAATGAAGAGAAGGACTAAAGGGCGAATTTTGGAAACTTTTATAACTGGACAGCCGCCCAGTTATAATGGCCAGGCAACCATTCAGCTTGAAAGTGCAAAACTAGGGCTCAAGTGGTTACCTGGGCAAGTGCTCGATTTTCTAGTGGATGACTGCCCACGTCACTCATGAGTAGAATTATTTTTTCGTTCAGAATTCTATTTAAAATAAGGAAACTTCATTTTAAACCATATTTGCACGATTTTTAGAGAATTTTGGGACTCCTTGAAGAATAGTATAAATACAATCTATCAACTCTAATGTATGGAGGATCAATATACGATTCCATTTATCTCATATTTATCATAAAAATTAATCTTTTTAGAGCAAAAAACTAAGATTTATATTGAAGAGTTCATTCTAGTTGAAGATCAAACGTGAACACGGAGTTACACTATTTGATTTTCCTTTTCTCCGGGTTATGAATTCCATCTTTTGTAATAGTTTTTGTCAATTTATCATGTTAGGAAAGATTATTTTTTGCATCCAGGTTTTCAATGAATTTTGTATTATGAAACTTTAACTTTTGAATTTGTTTTTGATTTTAAAATACGTTTTCAATTTTTGAATACTTGTCATTGATTTATGTTTCTCTATAAATATGCGTTATAGTTGTATGAGTTTTGTAACTTATTTTACCTTCAAAAGATAGAAGATAAGCTAGACACAGTGTCAATCGTCGTAGAGTCTAATAGGAAATAGAAGTATACCATTATACTCTATATGATCTTAAAGTATTAATAAATTGTTAATGCATTCTTATATGATTGCATTCATTATAGAAATATAATTCTACTCGAGAGAAACTGTTAAACAATTTAGAAATATTGATCTTCATAATTTAATCTGTTGTCAAATTGTAAAGTTCGAGGTTAAAAGGGATTGATATAAGGGGATTTGCGATCGTAGTGTATCTTTCATCATTATATTTTCATCAAAATTTTATTTATTATAACTTTGATTTGATTTTAGTGAAGTTAGTTAGTTATTTATAAGTAGATTATTTAATTACAATTTAGCTTTAGAATAAATAATCATTTTTATTATTTTGTTTAAGGCTAAGTTAATTCGAACTTTAACATGTACAATCTTTGTGTGTACGACACTTTAATTGAAAATCTATTTTTATTTATTTATTAACGAATCGTGCACTTGCGATATTTCTAACGAAAGAATAAGGGGTTGTTCTCTTTGTCGTTTTCAAGCCTTTTTTTGTTTTCGATTTTTCAAAACGGTGAAAACGCGTTCTCCTTCCCATTTTCGAAAATGAATTTTGGAAAACCAAAAAAAAATTTGTACACAAAACTCAAAACATCTAAAATGACGTTTTGAGTGTTTTCCAGCAAAAACAATGTATATTTCCAAAACACGGAAAACGCTCTTTTAGACATCTCTCTCATTTCCATTTCTCACAATCCCTGCATGTCTCTCTCCTCCCACTCCTTTACCTTTCCCCTGATTGATACAGATGGCTGCTCCTCTCATCGGAGCTCTATCGCTTTTCCACTTTCAACACCCTTATTTTCAAGTTGCCACTTGTTTATTAACTCATCGGTCCTGGTGCTGCGCCATCGATTTAACTAGTCCAGACAACGCTTCCTCCTCTGTTTGCCAAATAGCAGCAGCAGCAGCAGCACTAAGCGCTAAAGACCCACCCAAGTACCTGAGACGGGATGACCCGAAGTTCGAAAAATGGAAACAGAAAGAAGCGGAAATACTCAAAGACATCGAGCCCATTATTTATCTAACCAAAGAAATCCTGCACTCAAATAGGTGATTTCTCTCATCTATTCAAGTTAATCTTGTCTTGAACTTTACTAATTTATGTTTAGATATTTTCTTCAACGTCATTTTTTTGCAATTGCTTTTAGTTTCAAGGTTTTTTGAGGTCAAAAAGATGTGGTTTTGATGTGATAATTGAATGTCCAAAGAAGGGATATACAATGTTAAATTGAATACTTAAAAAACAGTTTCTGATAATACATTATTAAGTTACAAAATCATGTCCTTATCTAAAATCCAGAGATAATATGTATAATTTAGGCTGCTGTCTTGTCCCAGTGAGTAGTTTTACCATGTCTATGACAATTATTTGTGTACCTTATTGATTAAAAGCTAGCACCCATTCTAGTTTATGGAAAGTCCAATATTTGGTGAGAAAAGGTAATTAATGGTTCCGTAAGCAGTTATCCTATTTGTGTTGGTGATATAGATGACTGCTTGCGCAGAATTTCCAATTTCTTTTTGGGAGTGTCAAACATAGTGAAGTTCATGTGTGATTTTTTGAAGAGAAGGGTTTTGCATCTTCTCTTTTCTGCTCATTAATTGTGTTGTATAGATAATTGTTTGTACATAAGTTTGCTTAGTATGTTTATGCATATTGCATTGGTCGAACTCCAAAAAAAATTAGCTATGTATGGTGTAGATGGTGTTTGATGAAATTTCTGTGAAGAACATTGTTGTGTGAATGGTCTTTTGTCGGGTTATATGAAGGTTATATCAGGACTAAAATGGACAATACTTTTGTCAAATTCACCATTGCCTTTTTTGACTTCCCTGCCCATGCTAGTCTCATCCTATATATCCTTTTACCCATTCGACAATCCTTTCTTAGCTCTCTAGCATACATTAGTCTCCAAAAGTATATAGCTACTCTAGTCTCCAAGGTTAAGCTAAACCGATTCTCTATGCTTCCTCCTAAAAACAATGTGCAATCACTATGTTCCAGTTGCATAAATCAATGCTGCTTAGAACTGCAATTGTTAGTAGCAACATAGAGTTGAGGGTTAGAGTTGGAATGGTGTGATTGTGTTTCTTAGGCCTCACTTTCTAATGTTAGTTATGAGTTTGCTGATATTAAATCTTTTAGCTCAAATGCAATGACTAATGGATAGGCTTCTTTATTTTCATGGGGTGTCCAAAACCTTAACATTGAATATGAAAGGATAAATTGCATATTGGTATCATCATTTGAAGTTATACCCAGGGGATGAGTCTAGTCCTTTGTCCACTAAGAAGCCTATATTCTTGAAAGTTTTTCTTGAGCTTTTAGAGGGTTACTTATCCTGAATGAAAAATCATCCTGGACTTATTGTGCTCATAAGAATGAGTTGCTCATGTTTGTCATCCATTTTGGACAAGTACCTTGGACTATAATTAGGAGTCAATATTGGTTTATTGTCTAATTTTGTTGAGTACCTTGGACCATAAGTAATGTGAAGCATGTACCATTTTGTCAAAATTATATGCTTGACATCATGTCAAAATTAACATTTTGTTTGTACTGTAGATCACTTAACACATAATTCCACTTATAAATAATGTGCATTCGAGTTATGTGTCTTTTCATACTTAAAAGCATGGTAAATGAGATGGGAAAATTGTATGTAGAATTTATTTTCACTTTTTTTTTTATGTATGTGCTTGTCGAGGAATAGCTGATTTAGTTTCTTCCTTGAATTACAGCCTGGAAGATGTTGTGAGGCCATTTTAGTGGTTCGATAGTACAGGGTAGGATATAGCAGCAATGTTATTCTTTTGCCATGCTGCTATGTACTGCTATGGGGATGATACAGGATTGTAGATATTTCTCTCTTACGGATATTACATGAACTTGTGGATGTGACGCCTTTCTGCTCTAGAATGAACTCTATTGAGCAATTGAGGAATCTGATTAGTCATTTTTACATAAAGAAATAGGGAGGTCAAATTCTGTTGCCACATGTTTTGGCCCTTGTTCTTGTTTCCGTGCTTGTGATATGTATAATCTTTACAAACCTTGTAATTTTTTGTTTTAAAACTTGTGTTTACTGAGATTGGTGAAATGGAACAATTAGTCACGTCAAATCATCATGTTTGTGTTACATTGTTTTCATTTTCATTTTGCCATGAAACATAAACTTCTAGTAGTATCTATTGAATTGTGTTGCCAAATTTAATTTAGTTTGTGTTTTTTATATCTGTCAAAAAATATTTTAAGATTCACCAACTTCAAAATTTATATATTATTTAATACTATATTAACATTAAACTATTCAAATTTATTGAATAATAATATTTCTTAAATAAAATATTATAAAAAATATTTTCAAAATTTCAAAGTGAAAGCGTTTTTCAGTTTTATGTTTTCAAAAACAGTTTTTTAGAATGACAAAGAGAACGTATTTTCAGTAATTTCAAAACAGGCACTCAAAACACAAAATCTAAAATGAATTCAAAACTCAAAACTACAAAACTGAAACACGAAGAGAACAACTCCTAAATGTTATCGCAACATAGATCTTTTGTAGAAACTTGAAAGTCGACCAACCACATAGTTGAAGCACGACGCCTGAACAAAACCTAAGTGATCTTAAATGACAACTCTCAAATCAATCATTATAAATGGTATATGAAGATGAGGATGATGCAACAATGCCACGAGTTGCCTTAGGCATAGGAGCGAGCGGTTAGGCTCCTTCAAGTACATGGTTAAAATCCTTGCTTTCTCAATTTATATAATTTCTGTGCTTTGCTATTAAATACCTCATTTGTTACATTCTATCACTCATCATTTGTTCATCTACTGAAAATTCAATGCCCATTGTTAATTTTTTGGTCTTTAATATCTCAACCAATCGAACAAATCAACTTATAAACGTAGTACATAGTAGTAGTTTAATCATTCTATGATTGTGGATGCTAGAATTTTCAAAGAACTTGCTTTCCTCATGCACTTAAAAAGTGTAGCCAAGTTTGATAAGATCACTTTGCTTGATTAAATGTTTGTCCTCAAAAACATCATTTATGTCATATTAATACGTTTCGACATTTTGCAGTATTTTTCCCCAATACATGGAATAACAAATTCAGACACCGCTTTTCCTTATAAATATTACCTATGTACTCATGGCAGGTCAGTAAATATCCAATCTAGAATGGACGAAGTTGATAATTACTATACCATATTTGCATTTGTATCTTAAAGTTTATCATTTTCTGTAAGAATCATGGCTAAGAAGAATCTATATTTTTTCTTTATCAACTTGTTCGATTTGAAAATTTGATTGTCTCCTAATTCAAAATTCTTGTATTTGCCACTAAACACGAGGTACCTAATTCATCATATAATTACAAGCAATGCATATGAAAAATACAACATTTTTTTGCATTTTGTAATTCAATTGCTTTTTAATGTATTAATTCATAAATACATTAAAAAGCAGTTAAAACAGTTTTTTCTTAATTGCATCATAGTCCTGGAGAAATCGACACTTATCTACGTTACATTAAAAGAAGAATTGAGGAGAAATTTTGGAATACGAATTTTACCCTTATATATTTAGTTATATGTCCAATATACCCTCATTTGGTTTAACAAAAAGAAAAAAAGTACAAAAAAATAGAAATTGAAATTGAAAGGTTGCATTAATATGTTCACCTTGGCACTAAGGTATTGAATACCACTTTTACTTTTACCTATATATATATATATATATAAATATATATGTCCAATATGCCCTTATTGAATTTTAGTTTTGTTAATAATTAATTAATTACATTAATTCAATTTGTTCAACATGAAATTAAAAAAATCCTTCTCTTTTCCATTTGTCAATAATTCCCTAAATTAATCTTTTAATATTACATACTTTTATTAATAGCATTAATTCAATTAATATATTTAGCTATATGCCCAATATACACTTATTTAATTTTAATTTTGTTGATAATTAGTTAATAACATTAATTCAATTTGTTTAACATGAAATTTAAAAAAAAAATTCCTTTTCTTTTCCATTTATCAATAATTCCCAAAATTAATATTTTTAATATGACATTAACTTTTATTTATAGCATTAATTCAATGTATTTATTTAGCTATATGCCCAATAAACACTTATTTTATTTTAATTTTGTTATTAATTAGTTAATAACATTAATTCAATTTGTTCAAGATGAAATTAAATTTTTTTTATTTTTTATTTATCAATAATTTCCTAAATTAATCTTTTTAATAGTACATTAATTTTTATTAACCACATTAGTTAAATTTATTCAACATAAAACTGAAAAATAGGTGTTGCTTAACGAACTCAAATGATGGCCTTAAATTCCCCTTTTGAGATAAAAAAAAATAAAAATTTATTCAACATGAAATTGAAAAATAAGTATTGTTTGAGGAACTCAAATGATGACTTTAAATTCCCCTTTTGAGACTAAAAAGAAAATTTTTAAAATTGATTAATAACATTAATTTAAAATGAAATTGAAAAACGAACGTTGTTATTAACAACATTAATTCAATTTAGGAAAAATTGTAGCAACGGTCTTTAATATTTTCATTTTTTGTAAATTTTAACCTAACATTCAATTTGTACAAGCGAAGGTCCATATGCATCTAGAGTCCATATGGATGAAATCTGCCCATTTGACCATTAATTGATCAAGCATGTCAAAATTTAATTAATTTTGACCAAATTAAAAAGGGTAAAATGGTAAGCTCGCATTTTTCTCACATTAGATAATTTAAAAATTAAATTAAAAAATAATAAAAAAAATAATAAAACATCGTCATCTTCCACACCATTTCCCACCAATCCCATTCAAACCATAAATTCCAAACAAGTCAAGACCGTTGGTCGTCAACCACAAGCGACCCAACCCCCGCCGACTATTATACCATCCCACAAAACTAGAAATCAACATCAATCGCCCCCC